AGGGGGGTTTCTTCAAGTGGTTAAATCTACATAAGAAGCCAAAATGGTTGTTTCTGCATAGATAAAAATCTTCAAATATAGCAACGCAGCAAACGTGTGAGGAAACCAACTTTTTTCACGCTCCATCAGCTCCATCAGCAACCGAGAAGAGATGAAAAGATTTAGAATAGGTGTCAGTTCTCCGAAACCACGCAGGAAGGCAACACAACCATCTCGTAGAAGGATGTTTTACTTCTGCTGCATCTGCTTTATCGTCGGCAATTGTTTCGGTAAGTCTACCTATTTACATTTTACACCAATTTTCATCAATCTGTGGAACGCAATGGGAGACGATTCCGGTGTGTTGTAGCATCAGACCTCCCGCTGGAGTATTGCAGGTCGTGCTATGGCCCGATGAAGTATGTGTGGACGTCTCATGAATGAGTGAGTTCTGGCGTCTTCAGTGAAGGGTTAACGCTACATGATGGAAAGACATTGTAGACGATTGGGCTCTTCCAGCCTTGTGGTCACAGTTGGGTGAAGACCCTTTTCTGTCCCACCATGACTGTCCCCTGAGTACAAAGCCAGCTCCATAAAGCCATGGTGTGACCAGTTGGGTGAAGACCCTTTTCTGTTCCACCATGACTGTCCCCTGAGTACAAGGCCAGCTCCATAAAGGCATGGTGTGACCAGTGTGGTGAAGACCCTTTTCTGTCCCACCATGACTGTCCCCCGTGTACAGAGCCAGCTCCATAAAGACATGGTGTGACCAGTTTGGTGAAGACCCTTTTCTGTTCCACCATGATTGTCCCCTGAGTACAAAGCCAGCTCCATAAAGGCATGGTGTGACCAGTTGGGTGAAGACCCTTTTCTGTTCCACCATGACTGTCCCCTGAGTACAAGGCCAGCTCCATAAAGGCATGGTGTGACCAGTGTGGTGAAGACCCTTTTCTGTCCCACCATGACTGTCCCCCGTGTACAGAGCCAGCTCCATAAAGACATGGTGTGACCAGCTTGGTGAAGACTCTTTTCTGTTCCACCATGACTGTCCCCTGAGTACAAGGCCAGCTCCATAAAGGCATGGTGTGACCAGTGTGGTGAAGACCCTTTTCTGTCCCACCATGACTGTCCCCCGTGTACAGAGCCAGCTCCATAAAGACATGGTGTGACCAGCTTGGTGAAGACTCTTTTCTGTTCCACCATGACTGTCCCCTGAGTACAAGGCCAGCTCCATAAAGGCATGGTGTGACCAGTGTGGTGAAGACCCTTTTCTGTCCCACCATGACTGTCCCCCGTGTACAGAGCCAGCTCCATAAAGACATGGTGTGACCAGCTTGGTGAAGACTCTTTTCTGTTCCACCATGACTGTCCCCTGAGTACAAGGCCAGCTCCATAAAGGCATGGTGTGACCAGTGTGGTGAAGACCCTTTTCTGTCCCACCATGACTGTCCCCCGTGTACAGAGCCAGCTCCATAAAGACATGGTGTGACCAGCTTGGTGAAGACTCTTTTCTGTTCCACCATGACTGTCCCCTGAGTACAAGGCCAGCTCCATAAAGGCATGGTGTGACCAGTGTGGTGAAGACCCTTTTCTGTCCCACCATGACTGTCCCCCGTGTACAGAGCCAGCTCCATAAAGACATGGTGTGACCAGCTTGGTGAAGACTCTTTTCTGTTCCACCATGACTGTCCCCTGAGTACAAGGCCAGCTCCATAAAGGCATGGTGTGACCAGTGTGGTGAAGACCCTTTTCTGTCCCACCATGACTGTCCCCCGTGTACAGAGCCAGCTCCATAAAGACATGGTGTGACCAGCTTGGTGAAGACTCTTTTCTGTTCCACCATGACTGTCCCCTGAGTACAAGGCCAGCTCCATAAAGGCATGGTGTGACCAGTGTGGTGAAGACCCTTTTCTGTCCCACCATGACTGTCCCCCGTGTACAGAGCCAGCTCCATAAAGACATGGTGTGACCAGCTTGGTGAAGACTCTTTTCTGTTCCACCATGACTGTCCCCTGAGTACAAGGCCAGCTCCATAAAGGCATGGTGTGACCAGTGTGGTGAAGACCCTTTTCTGTCCCACCATGACTGTCCCCCGTGTACAGAGCCAGCTCCATAAAGACATGGTGTGACCAGCTTGGTGAAGACTCTTTTCTGTTCCACCATGACTGTCCCCTGAGTACAAGGCCAGCTCCATAAAGGCATGGTGTGACCAGTGTGGTGAAGACCCTTTTCTGTCCCACCATGACTGTCCCCCGTGTACAGAGCCAGCTCCATAAAGACATGGTGTGACCAGCTTGGTGAAGACTCTTTTCTGTTCCACCATGACTGTCCCCTGAGTACAAGGCCAGCTCCATAAAGGCATGGTGTGACCAGTGTGGTGAAGACCCTTTTCTGTCCCACCATGACTGTCCCCCGTGTACAGAGCCAGCTCCATAAAGACATGGTGTGACCAGCTTGGTGAAGACTCTTTTCTGTTCCACCATGACTGTCCCCTGAGTACAAGGCCAGCTCCATAAAGGCATGGTGTGACCAGTGTGGTGAAGACCCTTTTCTGTCCCACCATGACTGTCCCCCGTGTACAGAGCCAGCTCCATAAAGACATGGTGTGACCAGCTTGGTGAAGACTCTTTTCTGTTCCACCATGACTGTCCCCTGAGTACAAGGCCAGCTCCATAAAGGCATGGTGTGACCAGTGTGGTGAAGACCCTTTTCTGTCCCACCATGACTGTCCCCCGTGTACAGAGCCAGCTCCATAAAGACATGGTGTGACCAGCTTGGTGAAGACTCTTTTCTGTTCCACCATGACTGTCCCCTGAGTACAAGGCCAGCTCCATAAAGGCATGGTGTGACCAGTGTGGTGAAGACCCTTTTCTGTCCCACCATGACTGTCCCCCGTGTACAGAGCCAGCTCCATAAAGACATGGTGTGACCAGCTTGGTGAAGACTCTTTTCTGTTCCACCATGACTGTCCCCTGAGTACAAGGCCAGCTCCATAAAGGCATGGTGTGACCAGTGTGGTGAAGACCCTTTTCTGTCCCACCATGACTGTCCCCCGTGTACAGAGCCAGCTCCATAAAGACATGGTGTGACCAGCTTGGTGAAGACTCTTTTCTGTTCCACCATGACTGTCCCCTGAGTACAAGGCCAGCTCCATAAAGGCATGGTGTGACCAGTGTGGTGAAGACCCTTTTCTGTCCCACCATGACTGTCCCCCGTGTACAGAGCCAGCTCCATAAAGACATGGTGTGACCAGCTTGGTGAAGACTCTTTTCTGTTCCACCATGACTGTCCCCTGAGTACAAGGCCAGCTCCATAAAGGCATGGTGTGACCAGTGTGGTGAAGACCCTTTTCTGTCCCACCATGACTGTCCCCCGTGTACAGAGCCAGCTCCATAAAGACATGGTGTGACCAGCTTGGTGAAGACTCTTTTCTGTTCCACCATGACTGTCCCCTGAGTACAAGGCCAGCTCCATAAAGGCATGGTGTGACCAGTGTGGTGAAGACCCTTTTCTGTCCCACCATGACTGTCCCCCGTGTACAGAGCCAGCTCCATAAAGACATGGTGTGACCAGCTTGGTGAAGACTCTTTTCTGTTCCACCATGACTGTCCCCTGAGTACAAGGCCAGCTCCATAAAGGCATGGTGTGACCAGTGTGGTGAAGACCCTTTTCTGTCCCACCATGACTGTCCCCCGTGTACAGAGCCAGCTCCATAAAGACATGGTGTGACCAGCTTGGTGAAGACTCTTTTCTGTTCCACCATGACTGTCCCCTGAGTACAAGGCCAGCTCCATAAAGGCATGGTGTGACCAGTGTGGTGAAGACCCTTTTCTGTCCCACCATGACTGTCCCCCGTGTACAGAGCCAGCTCCATAAAGACATGGTGTGACCAGCTTGGTGAAGACTCTTTTCTGTTCCACCATGACTGTCCCCTGAGTACAAGGCCAGCTCCATAAAGGCATGGTGTGACCAGTGTGGTGAAGACCCTTTTCTGTCCCACCATGACTGTCCCCCGTGTACAGAGCCAGCTCCATAAAGACATGGTGTGACCAGCTTGGTGAAGACTCTTTTCTGTTCCACCATGACTGTCCCCTGAGTACAAGGCCAGCTCCATAAAGGCATGGTGTGACCAGTGTGGTGAAGACCCTTTTCTGTCCCACCATGACTGTCCCCCGTGTACAGAGCCAGCTCCATAAAGACATGGTGTGACCAGCTTGGTGAAGACTCTTTTCTGTTCCACCATGACTGTCCCCTGAGTACAAGGCCAGCTCCATAAAGGCATGGTGTGACCAGTGTGGTGAAGACCCTTTTCTGTCCCACCATGACTGTCCCCCGTGTACAGAGCCAGCTCCATAAAGACATGGTGTGACCAGCTTGGTGAAGACTCTTTTCTGTTCCACCATGACTGTCCCCTGAGTACAAGGCCAGCTCCATAAAGGCATGGTGTGACCAGTGTGGTGAAGACCCTTTTCTGTCCCACCATGACTGTCCCCCGTGTACAGAGCCAGCTCCATAAAGACATGGTGTGACCAGCTTGGTGAAGACTCTTTTCTGTTCCACCATGACTGTCCCCTGAGTACAAGGCCAGCTCCATAAAGGCATGGTGTGACCAGTGTGGTGAAGACCCTTTTCTGTCCCACCATGACTGTCCCCCGTGTACAGAGCCAGCTCCATAAAGACATGGTGTGACCAGCTTGGTGAAGACTCTTTTCTGTTCCACCATGACTGTCCCCTGAGTACAAGGCCAGCTCCATAAAGGCATGGTGTGACCAGTGTGGTGAAGACCCTTTTCTGTCCCACCATGACTGTCCCCCGTGTACAGAGCCAGCTCCATAAAGACATGGTGTGACCAGCTTGGTGAAGACTCTTTTCTGTTCCACCATGACTGTCCCCTGAGTACAAGGCCAGCTCCATAAAGGCATGGTGTGACCAGTGTGGTGAAGACCCTTTTCTGTCCCACCATGACTGTCCCCCGTGTACAGAGCCAGCTCCATAAAGACATGGTGTGACCAGCTTGGTGAAGACTCTTTTCTGTTCCACCATGACTGTCCCCAGTGTACAGAACAAGCTCCATAAAGACATGGTGTGACCAGTTTGGTGAAGACTCTTTTCTGTTCCACCATGACTGTCCTCTGAGTACAAAGCCAGCTCCATGGAGACATGGTGTGACCAGTTTGGTGAAGACTCTTTTCTGTTCCACCATGACTGTCCTCTGAGTACAAAGCCAGCTCCATAAAGTCATGGTGTGACCACCAGTTTGGTGAAGACTCTTTTCTGTCCCACCATGACTGTCCCCTCTGTACAAAGCCAGCTCCAATCTGCTTTATATTTATTAAGATGCAACATTCGTGATCTTGATCTGCAGATAAGGCCTGATGCCGGCTATCTCTGTTCATCACGGTTCTCTTTAGTGTCCTCTCTGTACACTGTGTGCAGTCCTCAGTATCTGTTATTATTCCAATCAAAAAATATGAATTATTAAGTGAGATAAAACCCCGTTCTAGCGGCTGTACAAATACCACAAAGATATATGAAAATAATAATGGGATGGAATAATACCAATATACAGAACTTTGCTGTAAATAAAATAAACACTGTACAATAAAAAAAATATTATTACATAATGAATATTATATATAATTATAAAATATAATATTAATAATAATATCTATATCTACAGTATATATATAAAATTATTATTATTACATTTTTTATTGTTTAATTGCATAGGGTTTATTTCATTTATTTCCCTGTAAATTGGCATTATTAATCTGTTCTTATTCTGTATGTATGGACTCTACCAGAGGCCTAACAAATCATTTTTCATAACAGCCTCCCTAATTGGGACCCCTCCTTCACCGGGTCCCATGGCAGCCATATGGGCTCTCTAAAAAAGAAAGGGAATATTCCACGGGGACCAATCAGAACTAATCTTTCACCGATCTAGCGCCAGTAAAGCTAGCTCCTATTGGTGGCTGGCGGTCATTGAACATTACACGTTGTCATTGCTTTTGGCATTGCTATGCTGTTGCTAGTTGATACAAAACTGTTTTCTCCCACCAGGTTTGGCGTCTCAATGTGGTGACTCAGCCATTGAATTAAACGGGGAGCTTGGACGACCTTTTACTTTTGAAAAAGTGGTTCTGAAAAATGGATCTGAAACCCTGACGCTGCAGAGGACCAATAAAAACCAAAGAAATATCCTACTGACCTACAGTCAGACTTCCAGAGAGCCCAGATTATCACCTGATGGAAGATACAGATACAATATGGAGAACTCTTCTTTTGAGATTCTGGAGCTCCAGAGGGAGGATAAAGGGATGTACGAGATAAGGGTCGCCCATGGCAGCATAGAAACATTTTGTAAATATGACCTCAAAGTTTACGGTAAGATATGATATAATAATGCGTGATTGGGTAACAGGAAGTGACTTAGATTCAGATGGTCTATGAGACAACTTGATGGTAAATATACCAAATAGGGAACTGAAAGGAAAACCCCCAAGAGGATAAAAATCACAGATAAAACTACAAAGGTTTTGTGTGCTTGCTTGCTCTTCATCTCTGGAGCTCTCTTTTCCTCTGATCACTTCTCCCTTATTCCTTCACTTTTCACCTGCTCCTCTCTTCTCTGGAGCTCTCTTCTTCTCCAACCACAGCTTCTCATGTGTTCCTTCAGGACTTCTCAGCTGCTTCTCTTCTCTGGAGCTCTCTTCTTCTCCAACCTCAGCTTCTCATGTGTTCCTTCAGGACTTCTCAGCTGCTTCTCTTCTCTGGAACCCTCTTCTTCTCCAACCTCAGCTTCTCATATGTTCCTTCAGGACTTCTCAGCTGCTTCTCTTCTCTAGAGCTCTCGTCTTCTCCATCTTCAGCTTTTCATATGTTCCTTCAGGACTTCTCAGCTGCTCTTCTTCTTTGGAGCTCTCTTCTTCTCCGACCACAGCTTTTCATATGTTCCTTCAGGACCTCTCATGCGCTGGTTCTCTTCTCTCAAACTCTCTTCCTTTTTCAACCATTACTTCTCACATCTTTAAGACTTCTCTTGTGCAGTTCCTTTTGTCGGGAATCACTTCTTCTCTGATCACCACTCCCCATTATTTCCTTACAACTTGTAAGGAATGGATGTGGATGGAATGAAAGGAAGGATGTCCTCTTCCTCTTCCTGGGACTCTCTTCTTCTCTGATCACCACTTCCCATTATATGCTTATCACTTCATGTAAGGAATGGATGTGGATGGAAGGAAAGGAAGGATGTGCTGCTCCTCTTCTCTGGGTCTATCCTTATTTCTGATTTTTTAGGGACTTTTCTTTCACTCCTTCTCTTCTCTGGAGCTCTTTTCCTCTGACCACAACTTCTCACTTATTCCTTCAGGACTTCTCATGTGCTGGTTCTTTTCTCTGAAGCTATCTTTATTTCTGATCACTAGGTCTTAATTCTTATGGACGTCTCTCTTGCTCCATGTTTTCTCTGGAGCGTTTTTTCTTTGATCACAACTCCTCACTTATTCCTTCAGGACTTCCCCTGTGCTGCTCTTCTTCTCTGGAGTTCTCTTTCATGCGGGAACTCTGATCTCTATCTGATCACTGCTTCCCACCACTTTAGCTATGAGCTCTCAACACAGGCTTCTTAGTCCCAGGACTTCATGCATTTGTGTTTTTGTTATAGCCCCTGAATGCCATCAGCTCCTACAGTGTTAATTATGATTGCAATGTACAAATAAAAGATAATGAGAATAATTAATCCCAGAACTCTTCTCCCCCTTCACAGAGAAGATTAATAATGTGATGGTCAACGTAACCCACAGCCTCCAGAATGACACCTGCATTGTCACCATGGACTGTGTGCCGCAGACTGGGGACAATATGACCTTCAGCTGGACTGAGGACCAGAAGGATTTACACTACAACAACAACAGTTTACTTATTCGGATCCCAAAGGACAACGCGACCAGAAACTACTCCTGCCGAGCCGAGAACCCAGTCAGCTCAGGTTCTAGTGAGGTCAACCTAATGGAGATATGCAGCAAGACACCAGGTAGACATTCTATAATCAAACTTCTTTTCACCCTCAGTCCACACAGCTTTCACCCAAGATGGCCTAATGTTGACATTAGATGTAATGGGAAAAATGTGCCCATCTTGGGTGAAAGTTGTGGGGAAGCATTGATAAATAGACCCCTAAGTGCTGTTTTTAGTTTCAGACAAAGACTGCTTGTGTTTCTAAAATGTTTGATGTGGTCAATACAGATGCGCACAGATCTTGCAAGATTGTTATTTCTTATAAACACCTCTTTATTTCCTCCTACACTTTTTTGTAAGACAAAAAAAAAACAGGCTGTTTGCTGGCAAAATTCTGTTTCCTTTACAAGAAAATGCCACGAAACGGAAATAATATTGGTGTGCGGGGAAAGGGGGGTGGGGGGATTCCCTATAATGAGGCCATCCTCATAATGAGGCCAATGAAAATCCATGGTGACCTTCTTACATCCATAGAGGTGATTGACATGCATAGGAGGGTCCAGGGCTGTGTGAAGTGTCAGCCCTTGCCTGACTCAATCCGTACTGAGAAGGATGGATTGTAAGAGGAAGTGCTGCCATAGATATCAGTTTCGGCTTTGTAAGCAGGGGGCACCTGTGATGGTTTCAGGTTCTAATCATAGCATTTCTTTTTTAAGTTTACAAGTTTTGAAACTGAGGTTTAATTTTGTATATATATATATATATATATATATATGAGGATGGTCCAGGAGGTAAGAGCTATACAGATAAGTCAGGGCAGTGGTGCAGAGTGGTGGAGAGAGGGGCTGGTGAGACAACAGCTCAAGGGTTGTGGCTGGCCATTACGGCAGAGGAGGAAGGCTCATGATTGTGGTGCTTCACAGATGAGTTGATGGTCACCACGTTTTGGAGATGACAGGCTGGATTACATGGGTCATGATGCCCAGGTAAGGGCAAGCAGCAGAGATCTTCACGTATACAGTTGTCATTATGTATATACACTATATAGCCAAACATTGGTGGACACATGACCCTTACACCTCATATGTGACCAAAAGACACAGAGACCCTTACACCTCATATGTGACCAAAAGTATGTGGGCAATCCTCACAAATTAATGAGCTCAAGGGTCTCCAGTGAAGGGTCCCATTAGTGCTACATCATAGGCATTGTAGACAGTTGTGCTTCTCCAACCTTGTGGTAAAGACCCTTTTCTGTCCCCTGTGTACAAAGCCAGCTACATAAAGACATGGTTTGACCATTTTGGTGTGGAGGAACTCGAGTGTCCTTCACAGAACCCTGACTTGAACCCTACTGAACACCTTGGGGATGAATTGTAACACCAATTGTGAGACAGGCATCTTCAGCCAACATTAGTACCTGACCTCAACCCTACTGAACACCTTGCTGATGGTCTTCAGGTCAGCCCTACCGAACACCTTGGGGATGAATTGAAATCAAACTATGAACCAGGTCCTCTTGCCCAACATGGTTTGATGAGTTTGGTGTGGAGGAGCTCAAGTGTCCTGCACAGAGCCCTGACCTCAACCCTACTGAACACCTTGCTGATGGTCTTCAGGTCAGCCCTACCGAACACCTTGGGGATGAATTGAAATCAAACTATGAACCAGGTCCTCTTGCCCAACATGGTTTGATGAGTTTGGTGTGGAGGAGCTCAAGTGTCCTGCACAGAGCCCTGACCTCAACCCTACTGAACACCTTGGGGATGAATTTAAATCAAACTATGAACCAGGTCCTCTTGCCCAACATGGTTTGATGAGTTTGGTGTGGAGGAGCTCAAGTGTCCTGCACAGAGCCCTGACCTCAACCCTACTGAACACCTTTGGGATGAGGTGGAACCCCAAATGCGAGTCAGGTCTTCTCATCCAGCATCAGCACCTGGCCTCACAAATGGTCTTTTGGCTGAACAAGTACAAATTCCCACAGACACCCTCCAAAGTCTTCCCAGAAGGGTGGAGGCGGGTGTAGCCACAAAGGAGGGTGGGCAGGAACTCCATATTAATATCCATGGTTTTGGAATGGCATGTTTAGCTAGCTCACATAGTCCCCTGTGTACAAAGCCAGCTTAATAAAGACATGGTTTGACCATTTTGGTTTGGAGGAACTCGAGTGTCCTTCACAGAAGCCTGACTTCAACCCTACAGAACACCTTTGGGATGAATTGGAACATCCATTGTGAGCCCGGTCTTCTCAACCATCGTAGTACCTGATCTCACAAATGCTCTGTTGGCTGAATGGCTACAAACTCTCACAGGCGTCCTCCAAAATCTGGTGGAAAGCTTTCCTAGAAGAATAAAGGAAGGGTTGGAGGGCAACTCCATATCAATGGCCATGGTTTTAGAATGGGATGTCTAACAAGCTCACCTAGGTGTGATGGTCAGGTGTCCACAAACCTTTGGCCATATAGTGTGTACAGTGGCCAACTATACACATGGATGCTTTCAAAACTTTACCATTCAATAAGATTATTATATTAAGCAAATCTTTATTACGTGCGTATCAAAAAATGATAAATACTGCAGTACCTATTCCGAAATCTCCTGGGAACCTGCAGCCATAAGTCTTGAGACAATCCCATTGGGCACAATGGATGCGCCATTTACGAAGATGTTGGTGTCACTACCCAGTCCTACATTCTCGCATTTGCCGGGAAGGTGACGTTATGCTTCAAGTATTACAATGAAATATTCCTTGGAGTGGCCATCAGCACTATAGTTCCAGAGAATGTTTCCTCTTTACCTTCCTGTGTTCTGGGTCTCTGTTGTGCAGTCAGGATGTCTTGCTGGGCTCCGTACGCGTTGACATTTTTATAACAGCCATTGAAATGAAGAAACTCTCATGATCCTCTGGGACAACAAAGTTTCTTTAACATGCAACTTATTCATAGCCGAGCCTCAATAGGCCTCTATCAAGAGCACTTACCTTCAAGGTATTCCTGTTTTGGCACAGGCAGGGGCATAGTAAGGTAGATGTCACCTAAACTGGGGCAGGGCTCAAACAGATCAGGGTACGGCCTGTGCAGTTCAGGGTGGACCTGAAAGCTAAACTCCAAGTAGATATGAAAACCACCATTTAATGTGCTGCTGCTCCCTAATAGTCCAGACACGGGCACAGGTATGTCCTGGACCAGGCTGCATTTCTTAACTGCAGTCCAGGACCTGACCTTGCTGTTGTCACTTTAATAAAAGGTCCCTTTTCCTGCTTACAATTCTTACTTTTGTTTTAACTTCCATATATCGTACAAAGACATTGTAGACAACTGTGCTCTTCCAACTTTGTGGTAACAGTTTGGTGAAGACCCTTTTCTGGTCCACCATGACTGTCCCCTGTGTACAATGTCCATAAAGACATGGTGTGACCAGTCTGGTGTGGAGGAACCTGAGTTTCCTGCACAGAGCTCTGACCTCAACCCTACTGAACACCTTTGGGATGAATTGGAACACCGATTGTGAGCCAGGTCTTCTCATCCAACATTAGTGCCTGACCTCTCAAATGGGTAAAGTTCTTACAGACACCCTCCAAAAATACTACATCATACAAAGACGTTGTAGACAATTGTGCTCTTCCAGCCTTGTGGTCACAGTTTGGTGAAGACCCTTTTCTGTCCCACCATGACTGTCCCCTGTGTACAAAGCCATCTCCATATGGTGTGACCAGTTTGGTGTGGAGGAACTTGAGTGTCCTGCACACAGCCCTGACCTTAACCCTACTGAGCACCTTTGAGATTAAATGTGTAGCGCTCACCCCCGAAGGAGCCGCTGAATAACCGGATATTTCTATCCCCCTGCACCAATGTACCGCCCAAAGCGTGGATCCGAAGCACACCAACACACCTTCAATTGATCTTTTAGCAGATTTACTGACAAATCAGATATGAATAACTATGATACAATAATAATGACAACAATCACCAACAATAATGTGTAGCAACAGGCTGAGGCACACTGCAACTCTGCTAACTGCAGCTATCTGCTGTCAGCACTGATTAGACATGTGCACTGCCAAAAAATTTGTTTAGTTTCGTTTCGTTTTAAATTCGGATTTGTGTTATTTCGTTTTTCAGGATTCGGGTGTGAAAGTCAATTCGGATTCGGAATTTGGATTCGGACGAAATTCAGTAGCGTTAGTACGAACGTTCGTTTCGTTTTCTGTTCTTATTCGTTTCTTATTCGTTTCTTATTCGTTTCTTATTCGTTTCGTTCGTTTGCAGCAAAAGTGACATTTGAGGGGGAAAAAATATTTTTCTCCTTCTCTAATGTCATTTTGCTCCAACGAACGAAACGAATAAGAAACGAATAAGAACAGAAAACGAAACGAATGTTCGTACGAACGCTACCGAATTTCAGAAATGGAAATTCGGATTTGTTTGCATTCGTTATGTCTGTAATTCGGAATTCGGATACATCCGAATGTCCGAATTTCCGAAAATTCGTCCGAATTTCGATTCGGAACGAAACGAATCTCACATGTCTAGCACTGATGTATGTGAGGCCAATTGTCTTTAAATGTCCCCCCTACAATGGGGTGTGTGCCCCTTTAAGGTTTCCCTTTGGCAATGCCCAACCCTTCCTAGACTACTGGCCAGTAGTGGTATCCTAAGCTAGCCGGCGTTGGGGCCCTTACTGTAGTGCAGGTATGAACAGCAAACAGGTTCTCAATGTGGCCAAAGGCCTCTCACCAATCCTCAGGTCGGTTGGAACAGATGAAACTGATAGCAGATGCTGGACGTCCTCTATCCCTCTTCAGCTCAGGCTCAGTAGGGGAAGTCGTCTGGGTCCTTGATAGGAAGTCTTCACTCATCCAGGATGCTTGCAGTCATCTTGGTTGGCTCCGTCTGGCTACTCTCTCAGCTGGGCGGCTGGATCACTCTGGCGGCTGGTTCGGCCATGCAACTAGGCCTCGACGTCCTTTGTGGTCACCTCGTCACCGGACCTCCCTTCAGGCACTCGATCGGGTCCTCTCCGATTTAGCGACCCAGGTCAGTCTCTCTGTACACCGCTGCACAGAGCCTGTGTGTCCCTGTATATCAGCGGTAACCACACAGCTCTGTCTCTCACAGTCTTAGCCCACACAGGGCTGCACAGGTCTGTCCTCTTCAGATGGCTGTCCCAGACTGAGCGCGCACCACAGCAGCCACCACCCTTAAGTCTCCTCCTCTCTCCTGCACAGCCTCCTGGGAGCTGTAGTTTCAGAGATGACTCCTGCAAATGTCCCAGTCTCTGCTCTGCACTCCAACTCCCATAAATCTCCGCCTCCAGGGCACACAGAGGCCATTAACTATTCACAGTCAGGGACATGAATCACTGTAATCGCACGTATATACATGAACATATATATATATACGGGGGCTACAAATGGAACACTGATTGTGAGCCAGATCTTCTCATCCAACATCAGAACCTGACCTCCCAAATGGGACAACTTTCCGAAGTCAAAAATCTTGTGGAAAGACTTCCCAAATGAGTAGAGGCTGCTATAACTTCAAAGGGGGGCCAACTCCACAATATTGGCCATGAGGGGTGAGGACAACTCAATATTAATTCCCAAGGATGTTCAGCAAGCTCATATACCTGTGATGGTCAGGTGTCCACCAAATATTTGCTGCTTGGTGTATTCTCTAGGTTCTCCTCACCTCTAAAACATCTTTTGCCTATGTTGTACGGTTTGTATTCTCTATAACATGCGTTTGATTGTGTTCTGTTTTTCAGCTGCAAGTGTAAATTATTATGGCCTCATCTATTTGATCACTGGTGTGTTGGCGGGAATCTTGTTCATTGCGATTGTGGGAGTCTTGATGAGAAAAAGATTCAACCGAAAAATAGGTAAGCGTACGTTGTGCTCAGGGTATGTCATGGTTTCTCTGGCCAGTCCAGGTAATTTAAGGACTCTCAGTATTCCCAAGGCTAGAATAACTTACAACCAGTCAGGTGACTCAAATGTTCACAGGTCCCAATGAACTTGTAGCCCACCTAGGAGTTAGGGCTTTGCCAGGAGTCCCGGGACATGCCACCCTGTAATTGGAGGTGACAGGTACTCTTTAGTGTGCAGCACTGTGCTAGAACTCCTATCACAGCTGAGATGGGAAGAGCACAGCTCTCCACTCTCACTTTGTACATCGGCGTCAGGGGCAGGAGACAGACTCGGTTAAAGAATAAGAAAAGAATAAGAAAATAATTATAAAAAATAAATGAACAATAATAAGATAGAAAATCATAAAAAATAAGAAAAGTAAACGACAAGCTAAAAATGTCAAAAATATATAAAAGAAGTGATTGAACCTGGCCTTGGGGCGGCAGGGAGAGCAAATCCGGCCCTGCCTGTAGCCATTTGGAAGATTAGAACATTTACATCTAACTTGCGTCCAATCAGAACACTGGTAGGACTCACGGGGCAGGGCTAACCTTAGACCAGTCAGGTCTGATACATCCAATGTTCTTACTCTTTCAAGGTAAACACAGCATGCATCCTCCACAAATGCCTCCTCCACCAAATCCAGCCTCGCATACTATACCGACTCCAACTATGAACACAGTGTATGCGGCAGTCCAGAAAAAAGAGGTATGAAGGCTTTTATGGGGGGTGGGGGTGGTGGCTTGGGGGGGGTTGGTGGGGGGTCTGTGGGTGTAGGGGCACTCATTGTTGACCATACGTTGATTTGTTTCCAGATGGGTATAACAAGGCCGAATGAAGTTCCTTCAGAGCCGGTGAGGCAAGTAGCTCTCACGTTGTATGACAGAGTCCGGAGACCAGAGGTACGAGGTACTGAGTGCAAATATTGTTGGTTTGTTGACTAATCTAACACGGCAATGCAATTTATTGCCCCTGGGCCCTTCAGAAACAATAGTAGGGATCACTGAGCATCCAAAGTCTTAACAAGATACATTTACCAGTCACGTGACGTGAACTCTTAACTTGAAGGGTGCTATTGACACAGATTATAGCTACTGGAGATACAACTGCTCCTATTATATACCCCTAATCCCCAGGCCCGGATTCCCCACAAGGCCACCGAGGCCAGGCCTCGGGGGCGGCAGCGTTGTGGAATCCCCCGACGCCCGGAACATAAAGTTCCGGGCGCCGGGCGGTAAGTTGCCTTCTACATTTAGTCCTGCTTTGGGAGGGCAGGACTAAATGTAGGGGCGGGGAAGCCGCTTGTTCGTTTACAAGTGATCGCAACGATGTCGCCGCGATCACTTGTAAAATGAGTGCAGCCTGTCCGTCCTCCCCTCCCCCCCCACACCTACCTCTCTCACCTCCATCACTGTGCTAGAACTCCTGTATTGGAGGTGACAGGTTCAATAAAGAGAACCTGTCACCTCCAAAGGCTATCACACATGGGACTTGTTAGCTAGCTCATGTGTGATAGCAATAAAGTTAAGCGGGGGAAAAAAAATGATTATAATTTAAAAAAATAATAAGAAATAATAATTAAATAAAAAAATAAAAGTATAAGTATATATTAACACATTCATGACTGAGGCCTTTTTTTCCTTTGTTGTACCCATGTTATATTCCACATTTTAGGCCTGAAAATTACTTAAAACCCCCCAACATTATATATTTTCTGAATGCCAAGACCCTATAGAAACCCCAGTACCCCAAAAAGTCCATAGAAGACGCTTTAAAAGCCCCCACAGGTCATCAATTTAGAGATACCCCAAAATACTGGCCCTAGAATTATTGCTCTCACTCCGGCGTGCGCGGCGATACCCAACATGTGTAGCGC